TATCTGATCATTTTCCTCCTAAAGTGACTTATTAATTATTTCTAATTTTTATAACAGTTTTTTTTATAATTTTTACGGTAGTCGCGATAACCGACAAGTACCGTTTTTTTTTTTTATTATAATATTTTTATAAATCCAAAAATGTAATAATATAAATAAAAACTACATTTGACATTGCTGAACTACATTATTTCTAATATTTATTATAATTAACATATATTTATTTACATGGCTCACAAATTCATTAGTTCATATAAAATGGTCTTAAAATGAAAACCATCCTGGTAATCCCGGTCTATCTGCTTGTTTTTTTAAGTAATTTTTAAACATTTCACCACTCATTTTACTTGATTTCTCATCTTCAGAAGAACGTTTTTTTTGTTCTTCAGTAACACATACTTCAGGAAATTCAAATTCTTGGTCTCTGGGCTACAAATTAAAATAATAACTTATTAATTTCATTTAAATAATTAATATTATATTTTATACATATTTTTATTTACAGGGAATTTGAAAATATACTTACTAATGTAACAAATGCTCTACGGAAGTCGTCATCTTTTACAATTGGTCCATATTTTTGTAGTATTGCTCTTCTAAGTTTACCTAATATATATTATACAAATGTATTAGTATATTTTATACATTCATAGTATATTTCATTATGATATTACCATTTTCAATATTTGATTCAACTTTAATAACTTTAATCTTATAAATTTTTTCTAAATAATTTTGTATATCATAATTTGTCATTCCAGTTGGTACTTTAAATTGAACCACATTTTTTGGTTGTTTTTCTTCAGGCCGTACCAATTTCATCCAAAAATTTGGCAAAAAAACACGTAATTGAGGATTACCTCGTTGATAAATAGGATACCTATAACATTATGATTTTTTACAATTTAATATTTTATTATTAATGCCATAAATATATTTAAAATTAATTTTACTGATTTGGTTATCAACTATTATAACATTATTTACATATTTACCATCTAGAAGACATAATGCTGTAAAATAATATTTCTTATTATTATTACGTATTTTAATTCTTATTTCTAATTTTATCGACTAAGTTATATTTAATTCAATTATTTATAATCTAATAATTAAATTAGAAAAACAATGCAATAATGTTTGATTTTACATAAAATACATGTGATTTGAATATAACCTGATAAGTGTTATCGTAGAACAATCTGACACTGATAATTTAGTATAACCTCTTTGACCGTTCATCTGAAGACACTCGTCCAGAGTTACCCCGTCAAAGTTTGAAATATTTAATTCAAATTTTATTATTATTATAATAAAAAATAAAATCATTCATGAACCATGTTTATAAAAATTAAAGTACATAATACTTGGCAATACCTTATAATAGAAGAACTGCTGTAATATTAAAATTATATATTATAACGATCCTTTTATATTAAACATTATTTTTTTATTTTTTTTTTAATTAATAATTTTTATAGTTACATCAAATAAATTAGAAAAATATTATTAAAAATATATACAAATTTAGAAATTTATAAATTAAATGTATTTAATACATATAATAGCATTTTTACCCGGAATCACAAAATTGGGCTAACAGCCATTGGGCATACAGACTATGAGACCTATGGTTGAGGGGTCGAATAAATTATAAATTATTAAGAAAATTAATAGTAATAAATTCAATCATTAAAAAACTTATTTCATAGTTAGAATAAAATATTTATTAAAAAATTAATACATTTTTTTTAAATCTGTTGTAAATAATTAGCTTATAAATTTAAATTTTTATACTATAAGCTATACCTTTTAAAAATGCATCTATAGTTCTATTTTGTTTGTATTCTATAACTGCATCCAAGTGCGTTTTGCTCTTTAACTTAAATAAAGCTACGCGATTTATTACTACAATAGTATAACTGAATGAAAATAAAATATCATTTCAACGCGATCGGATATTATTATTAGTGATAATATTGACAATATGTACAATGGGCAAATTTATGTTACAATGGTAATAATTTTTACCATAAGTGATCATCTGATAGCCTTAAGTACTTATAAGTCCCGTTATAACTGTTGCGAGTGTGCATAGGATACAACAGATACAAAAGTTATCGAAGTCACTAAATATTCAAAGGATTTTGTGGTGTTTTGCTATAGTCTATTATTATTAGCTTATACAGTAAATTTGATAAGCACAGATATAAGAACATGAAATATAAGAATGTAAAATTGTAAAAGTTGTATTTACTCACAGGCTATAGTTTTATTATTTTTTTTAATAATAATATTTCATTATAATAAATTTATAAACTAGTAACTAATGAGTTAATTAACCTGTTTAAAAATTCTTGTAATTGGAAAACTTAAAAATCTATTTTATTGATAAATTATTAATCTGTTCACAGATCACTTATCCGCTATGTACTATAGCAAGTACACCTCGTTTACCTGAACATTGCATAGAATATGTGAAACTAATACAATGGCCCAAAGAAAATCCTTTTGATTCTAACATTGATACTGATGATCCAGCACACATTAGTTGGATTTATGAAAAATCCCTTGAGCGTTCTGATGAATTTGGTATACATTTAGACTGCTGTATTTTAAATAATTTTTGATTCTATATTATATTTTATTTTTTAGGAATATTTGGAGTTAATTATCGTTTGGTTCAAGGTGTTATAAAAAATATAATACCAGCGGTAGCATCAACAAATGCTGTGATAGCTGCTGCTTGTGTTACTGAAGCATTTAAAGTGGCTACTAGCTGTTGCCCGTTATTGAATAATTATGCAGTGTTTAATGATGCTGATGGAATATATACATACACATATGAAGCTGAAAAAAAGGAAGATTGTATTACCTGTAGTTCATCTACAGCAAAATATCTTGATATTGAGGATACAAATGTACGATTGGAAAAAGTAATTGAATTACTTGCTGAACACACTCAATATCAAATGAAAAGCCCTGCACTTACTGTAGAGTTTGAAGGAAAGAGAAAAACTCTGTACATACCAAATGTTCCTTCAATTGAATTAAAAACTAGACCAAATTTAAAAATGACACTTGAACAATTGGGTATTGCTGACGGATGTAAATTATTGGTTGCTGATATTACAAATCCTAGGGCTTTTGAAATTATACTTAAAATTAAAAATAACTGTGATCATATGGAATAAAATCATTTTTTGAGTATTTACTTTGAATTTTGTAATATTTACTATAATACATTTTTAGTTTTAAATATATTTATACTTCGTACATTAATTATTTTCTTTTTTTATCGATTTAGAATTTATAAAGTAAAAACTAAACTATTAATTTTTTAATAAAATTTTCTTTTTTAATAATATATAATTTTAAGTGGTAAAAAATTAAAAAATAGTGCTTATTGTTGGTTGGAAAATGGTCATAAATTATATTTTATCTTTTAGAATTATAAACTTGATTTTTTCACACAACATTTTAGAAAAATTAATTTATTGTAAACTATTTAGTAATTATGAAATTAATTTCCAAGGTCTAGTTATATGTATTTAAAAGATTTTAATAGTTTTTTAAAAAAATGTAAACTGTTTCATTGCTTCTCAATGACTTTCAATGGACTATACATAACCAGTGGTCCTCAAATGTTTTGACTAAATTATGGCAGAAAAGCAGATTGGCTTAGTTAGTGAGGAGAAAGTGAAGGTTGTGGTGAAGGTGATGAAAAAACATAGTTTTTTAATTGTAGTTGACAGTTGTAGATATATGTGTTATTATAAATAGTTGATTTATAATAACTGATCTTAGAATGATAAGATACTCAAATCATGGACGATAACACTTCTTGAATAGCCCTAATGGTCCTAAAGCTGGTATTGCTAAGCATAAGCGAAACAATAGCTCTGCGATCAACGTTCAGTGCGAGCATTAAACTTACAATGTGTGATGTTAAGTTATCATCTTCACGACCAAATAACGCTCTGCATAAAAGAAATCAAAACTATTAATATTGTTCACTGATAACTTGTAACCGTGTTTGAAGAGAATAATTATCTGTCAATTACTTTATATCATATCCTTGGTCTTTCGATGATAAACACTCTGGCTTGAACAGGTACAAGGTTCCCAGTTTTGAGTTCTGAGTGATGACGATGAAAATAATGTCCCTGTGAACAGAAACGTTATTTTCACAATGCACGGCATGAGCGTTGGGAAAATAATGAAAACAATCAATACTCGAACACCGAAACGGTGAAATCAGTGTGCACGCCGTCCAATAGAGCTGCAACAGATTTAAAGTTCATCTTATGCATTTAAGTTGACATTCTCGAACGAGTGAAACGCATCAATGAATATTACGAGTACGCCATGCGGTTGTTATTATTTCAAACCTTCGTGGAAAAGACAGAAATTTATGATAAATCATTGCTGTTATCAATTCGTACACGAACCTATCAGTGCATACATAATAGAACACGGTATGGTGCACGACTAAAAATATAATAAGAGAACGTTACACAGGGGCTTCTAAAAATTTTTACCTACTGCCCAAGCATACTGAAAAGTTTGTTTTATGAAAATTATTTGGATTATAATACCTACCCTCCTCCCCATATAAATTGTATATTGATATTTTAGTATTTTAACCATCGCGTGGTAAAATATTAAAAAAAATACGGATCTTTTCCGTTATACGCATCTGATATACGTAGTTTAAATTAATTTATATTTAATTTAATTAATTTACATTTAAATTTAAATTTCATAGATTAATCAATTATCGAAGTAGCAAAGATTGTAAACTTACATAATTATTATTTATTAGGTACTAAGTTGGGATTATAAATTACACAAATTCCAAATACTCAGTAGAAATTCAATCATTCTACAAGGAAAATTATATTTTTTAAGGTGCTCGTATTCATAAAGTTAACTGCCCTTTTGATTTTTCTTACTATCCAATTTGGTTCGTACAGCCCGTTAGAATAAGACTTGCGTTACATTTGTTTTAAACTGTCATATTCTTTTACAAAAATAGACATTTTATTTCGACTGTAGTTTTTTCAACTAATCCATCTACCATAAACAAAAAAATTATACAATGAAAATAAAAAAAATACCTACTAGGTACTTAAATTGATTAAGTACCTATATATTTTTACCTGCCGTTGCTGCAAGATATGGTTAACGTTTATTATTATATAGTCCACACTTTTTAATAGGTTTTTGTATTTGAACGTATAATTTTTTTTAATGCTCTTCTGATAGTTTATCATATTCCATTGCATTTGTTTGTGAATCACCAAACGATATATTATATACCATAGCCTTACAAAATGTGCTAGGCCGCATTATGCACACTTTACCGAAATTATAGGTGTTAGTCGGTTTTTTCTAACAATAAACCATTTATTATTGATACCTTGACCCCTTGTGTCAAACTCCATTTTTTTTTCGTTTCTGAAACATTAAGTGATTTTATAAACTCCATTTTCTTTTTTTTATTTCTGTGTCAAATAAAAAAGAAGACAAAGGCTGGGCTAAACCATATTATTCATCTGATCCATTAGAAGTCGCTTTTGCCTTGTATTTTCCGGAAGATTAAAAAAGTGATCGTCGGTGTTTTAAATTTTTTCTTTTGTCCGATGTGTATTTTAAAATTGTTTTTGCAATAATTCTTAGAAATATGCAATGGTTATTCATCAAAAAATGTACTTACCTATACCAGGAGATCAATTGAAGTCAGTGGTTAAAGTGGAGGGGGACGGAGTCCCCCTTCTTATTTAAGGTAAGTATATGCGTTCTCTTTAAGTTGCCAAAAGTCGGGGTAGACGCTTAATGGCATTGGTCACTAACAGTGTTTCTTCAGACACCTCTCCGGGAGGGCATAGCCCCCCCCCCCCGGATAAAATTTGAAGAATATTAAATAAATATCAAATGTTAGAAAAATAAAAATTGTATATCACAGTGAATAATCTATATCGTTAGATAAGAGTCAACACCGTGTCATCGTATTCTATTTATAAAATTATTTTCCCGGTGTAAATCAGTAAATAGATAATACTAGCTGTTGGGCAACGATAACTATAAATTATTGAACACCAAAAATAATATCAGATAAATATTTCAATAGTTTGTCAAAAGCGTATCATTGAAGTGTATACGCATTTTTTTCTAAATTTTTTTTTTTTTTTTTTATAATTGCTGTAACTTGGTCAATTTTGGACTTAGAAAGTTGATTCAACTACCAAAATTCATTTAAAAAATAGGCAAAAAATAATTAGAATAATTAGTGGTTAAAGCAAGGGGTTACCAATAAAAAAAAAAGTTGACATGCGCATGCGCGTGACTAGTTAAGTAAAAAAAATTCAAAGACCATAAAAATATGTATTTTTTATGTCATAACAACTGCCAAAAAAACAGAATTCAAATAGCAGGTCTCTACGCAAAGATATTGAATGTTCTCGATTACCGTTTACACACTGTATAATAAAGTTTCAGATTATATTATAACCATAAAAAATTGTGCAATTAATTTATGCCCCCCCCCCC